GAGCTGCGGCAGATTTCAAAGCCCCTGCCCACCTGCTCACTCGCTGACACCATTTATCTTCCCCCAGTCCCTGTGTTTTTTTGTTTTTTTTTACCCACAAACCCACCCTGTGCAGTGACACACCTCTCACCTGCATTCCCTTGCCAAGATACCCCTCCCATCTCTGCATAACCCCTAGACCCCCACTGATCCTACAATTCGGGAGGGGAATAATGATCATAATTTTTGAATACAGAAAATTGAAGCCTCACAGGGGAATGAACATCTGTGTCAGTCAGTGCGCAGGCGTGTGTTTGCATGACTGCCTCCCAAAAAAGATGCCAAAGACTGAAAAATGGATGTGAACACACAATGTATACTGCATATTTACTACAGGTACGAAATACAAGGGTGAGAACTGTCAATTCAATTACAATGGAACAGGAGGCAAAGAGAGCCTCCTCTGTGTGTGTGTGTGTGTGTGTGCGTGTGCGTGTGCGTGTGCGTGTGTGTGTGTGTGTGCGTACGGACGTGCGTGCGTGTGTGTATAGGTTTGCATTGATCACATTGTGGGAATGCCCCCACAATGTGACAAAAACGTGATATTTTGACCTTATGGGGACATTTTTTGAACAAAAAAAAAACAAACTAAAAATACCACAAGTCAAAACCAAATTTGTTTGGTTACTTATGATTAAGGTTAGGGCTGGGTAGGGGTTAAGGTTGTCATTGCTGGGATTAGGGTTATGCCCATAGAAAGGAATAAAGTGTCCCAACAAAGATATAGATAGCTCATCTGTGTGTGCGTGCATGCATGTGCATGTGTGCATACGCATTTATATCTGTGCATGCATGTCTACATTTGTGTGAGTGCGTGTGCATGTTTGCATGCATGTCTGTGCATGCATGTGTGTGTGCATGCATGTGTGTGTGCGTTTGTGTGTCCATGTGTGTGCCTGCTTGTGCTCCAGCTGCTCCTCATTCATCTCTAGTCTCACATTGATCTATCTCCTTATCAATGGCACCATCTTCAGCTACATCATCGATTAAAAGGACAAATGGGAGTGGCACCTGTGCCACCAAACGTCCCTTGCATTTCCTTGGCAGGGTTCCCAGACATTTCTAAAATAGCTGCTCTCCTTTTCCCCCCAGAACCATTTCCCTCCGACCGGACCTGCCGAGCATCGGAAAACCACACTTACGATCTCCCCATTCATTTCACTGTCATCGCTGCTAATTGGATCAATTTACTCGTTAGCCACATAGTATTCACCTGATATAACCCTGCACCCTTCCAGCGGTAGTACAGTGGGACACATTAAACAGCCACACCACAACTCTGTAAATTCTAAGCCAGTCGACGAAAATACCTAAATGCTACAGCCACAGCCCTTGAAACACTGTGACAGTGACAAAGGTGCAATTGCAGTGTGAATACCACAATGCCTGTGATATAAACATAATTACAGTCTAGCACCTAATCCCTCCATTTGATAACCCACTCCACCGCTAGATTCCACTCTTGACCTGCCTATTCCCCCCACCCTTACTCTTCAGGCAGTGATCTTATAGAGATGCCTGCCCTTCTCAGAGATCAACTGAGTGGTACCAGGGGTGGAGTCAAGTAGCCCCGCCCACCCTCTATCCACCAATCCGGCACCAGCAACCCTTCACTCCACTCATAATGTTCTGTCCCAGGCCACTCCCTCACAGGCTGGTCTGTGAAACAAAAGGAAAGGTGTCCCTTCAGCGTGCAGGTTGGGACCATGACTGACAGTGACAGTCAACATACCAAAAATCATGTTAAAGAAAAAATAAATGAAAGTGAGTATGCTCAGGTCGGCGCCTTCGTTTGCGTGACTAGGTAACCTAGTCTGAGGCTAAATTCACCACAAGTGAGATTCAGATGAAACAAGGGCACAAGGGCATAAATATGTATCCCCCCCTGCCTCCCCATTTTGGTCACACCCAGGTCCTCCGTTTGCTGCATCTAGCACTAATAAAGGCTTCTGCATGCTGTTTATGGATGGGGGGCTTTTTAATTCTCAGCTTGTCTTATTCACTTTGACTCCCTCCGCCCACCCCCAAAGCACATGTCTGAGCTTTCAGAAGGACAACCATGTCCCAGAGGTGAGGGGGCTCCTGAAACAGGAGGGAGGGGCTCCTTTGCTGTGAACTCGAGTCATCCCAAAGATCCCTGCAACAAGACTGCTAATGTACTGCTAATACTAAACGCTAAGTGCTTCACTGACATTCTCTCTGATGCTCAAAGGGCACTAACGCAACTGACTACCACAGCGCCACCCCGACTGCAGTCCCGCATCCCGCTCAGCGTGCAGGTAGCCCCCCCAGCCTCACCCAGCCACGACCCAGTGCCCAGACCCACATTGTGAGAAATATGAACTGTCACGTTCCCAGGAGCTGGAAACAACCTCGCTGAGCTTTCAGACAGCACAGCCGATCTGTGCAAATCACCGTGCGTGAAGCCGCGAGAGAGGGAGAGCGAGAGCAAGTGACGAGTGAGAGAGAGAGAGAGAGAGAGAGCGCGCAAGTGAGAGATGCACTGCAGTACAGTTACAAGTAATGACTCAGTAATGCCAAAATGAGACGATCCACATTCCTTGACCTTCAGCAATCACGATTGCCTAAAAAAAAAACGTCTGATCAGCACTGTGCTGCGCTGACATACAAGTCTTATTCTCAAAAAACATAACTTAATGCAAGTGAATACCGTATAAATCCCTTTTTTTTAACTGAAAACAGCCACCTTTTATTGCTTTATGGAGCCCGCGTTAACCTTCTTGGCAATGACATCCTGTGTTTTGTCCTGACATCATTCCTCATGAAAAAACAGTACCATTTGCTCACTAATGGCTGAAAGCTACGTATCAGGAGGCTGGGAGCATTGGAGCCATGTGATGTTTCGCAAGGATTCACCCACGGCCCCTGACATATCTAAGGATGGCAGTCGTTACGGCAACCCCAGGATAGCCCCTGCAAGGAGGACCCAGCGTGACAGCACGCAGAATCTCTAGTGTCTGCGTGCCCTTTTAGCGGCCCAGGCAAAGAACAATCTCGAGGACAATTCCACATCAAGATCACGCTCACGTACTCTCCGCACTTTCCATTACACTGTGCACCAGGGACAGAAAACGTTTGTAAATGGCATTACAGAACTTTAAATCATTAGGTTCGTAAGGTCTGTGTGTATAAGCGGTTGCACGAAGATACGGATTTTACGAGGCGTTTGAAACATTCCCACGCCCTGGCATGTACACTTTTGTGCACGCGTGTACCTGCGCGCCAGTAGTCGCACATGCTGGTGAGTGAACGCCGCCAGCCTGCGCATGCACGATCATCCGCTGGTGCACGCGCTCGTGTCGGCATCCGCATGTCTGAGCGTAGCTGTGTTTCGGGAGGCGCGCGCAAGCTTCGCCATGCACCGCGCGGTCCGAGCGCACGCGTGTGCTGTTGATCGAGCGTGTGAGCACGTGTGTGAACTCGTCTCACCTGGCGCTTGAGCGGCAGCGCCGGTGCCGTCATCGGGGAGCACTCGGTTTCTCTCCCGCAGGGTACTCGAAAGCATGTCATCGACACTAAATTGAGCCGCTTCCCCAGACCAAGACACAAGGACACCGAACAGCATACAGAAACTCCCCATGTGGAACTTGCGCTAAACCAAAGGGGAAAAAAGCACTTAAAAGAAGACTTAATCTGATCTCAAGGTCACAACGGTGTCCTCCAACAGAATGGATGTCGAATGCAACAAAAATTACAAATTCAAACGTTTATGATTTTGATCTGCCTCCTTTTTAAACGAACTACAATCAATCTGCAGTAAACTCCTCACTTGTTTGTCTGCAGAAGTGATCGTGAATGGAACCACAACACGCTTTTACACACAATTATCTTTTTTTGCAGGGACAGGCTTAGTGGAAAAAGTATACTACCTGTGCTTTCTTGAACACAGTGAACTTGCAAGCACCTACGTTATTCAGGAAATTATGATAAATAATGACCACTAAAAATGAAAAACGCATTAGTCGTAAAAGATCGAAAGGTGCTTTACCTAATTTATCGACAGTCTGCCAAAAACCAGATATGTTTTACGTTATTCTTCCAGGGCCCAGGGACAGCCCCAATAGCCGTGCATCCCTTCGCCCGGTAGCCTACTAATGTTTATTACTGTAGGGACTTTGTCTCCTGCCCGGGGTTTGCTGCACGTCAGCTGCGCGGACTTGCAGCCTGTTTACAAATAATACTAATCAGAAAATGGTTATAGGGATGCATGCATATGCACACGTTTTATTTCATCAGAAAGGCGTATGAAAGCCCAAGGACAAGTGTAGAACACAATATTTTGCGTACGGGAAGGGAAAACAAGACAGCTGTCTTAGCTTTAATTATTCTGAAAAGTACGGATGTTTTGACGGTGTTTCAAATCCTGTAAGCGCGTCTGCTCAAGGTTATTCACCCGCATTACCGCTATCATAATTATTTTGACAGCAGGCTATTTTACAAGTTTTGATTTTTCATTATATTTAGTATTTACCCCAGATAGACATAACACCGCATTCTGCAGGTAGCTACCTGTGTTTTTATTATATAGACTATTCCTAATGTCTTACCTATTGATCTTGCGCGGGTTGCAAAAGTTCTGAATTTATCCGAAAACAAGACGGGTGACAAGTCCCCTCGTTACCCATAGCTCTAATTCAGGTGAGAATTAAGATTATTAAAAATTAATATAATGTAATTACGTATTACATAAATATAGTCGACGAACTGCAGCATTCTGTGATTCCTGCCTGAAATCACACTATATGATAATTATTAAGAAGGAGCTCTTAAGCCGCACATTCCCCTGGAGATTATGGTTGAGTATTAGGGTAAAGTATCTAGATACCCCGGTCCGAGACGACGCAGCGCAGGTTTCCAGTCGCATCTGGGAGTCCCAGCCGGAAAGCATCGCTGCGCGGCGCCGCTATGGTCTGTGGACTCGGTACTCATTGCGCGCTTACCTAACTTTGGCCGCCACCGAGGATATCGCATCGCTTCTCAGATTCTTCCTTTTGGACACAGCGGTTCCCATGCTGGTATGGAAACCACGCTGATGGAGAGGCAGCTCATTCCAGAAAGCGGCGAAGGGGAGACGAAAATGAGAAATGGAGAGAGGGGGAGGAGGGAGGAAGGAAGGAAGAAAAAAAGAGTTTCCAAGATTCCAAGATGCGTTTTTGCACCGCAGGTTTCAAAGATCGCACCCTCTTTTAAGATGCTTCAGTGTGCCGACAGGAGGTTTAAGATGGTCACTGATAAAATGAATGGTGGTGATCAGTAGGTAGTGAAGCGTTCCGTTTCCTGCTCGCTGATCTTTGTGATCGTGAAGTGCTGTGTGTGTACTTGCTGGTTCAAACCGTGCTGTCAGAGGCGGTAGGAGAAAAATACACACAGACACGCATAGTTCAATTGCACAGCCTACCCTCCCCTCCCGGTCTCTCCTCCCTTCATTGATCTGCCTGGTACGTGGGGGTGGCCATACTCCGTCTTTGGTGCGGGAGGCGGGGAGGAAGAGTGCAAAGCGGACGGCAAACTTGCTTGGGCCATGAAAGGCGTGTGTAAAGGCGCCCAATCCCGGCGGAGTGACTTCATCGTGAATAGCAGGTGAAAGAGAAGCAGGAGGGGACCCTGCGGTATACGACAGCGCTGGTGCCAAGCCAGGTGCAGATGCTCAGAGGAGGGACTTCGCCTGCGAGAGGGGGCTAAAGCAGGCACTTCTAAATTAATACATAACACGCGTCATGCTCACAATAATAGACATGAAAAGCACTGACGGAACAACCTATCATAGCGGATCGGACGAAACAAAACGCGGGGTATGCATATTGTCAGAAATCTCCTAATGAGATTGAATACGACCAGTAGCCTGCGTAAAATACAAAGCGCTGTCCCGTTAATCATCAGTGCTGGGGCAGGTGTCCTATTATACGACACGGGAGGAGGAGGGGGCTTATTCCCTAGCTCAATGTCTTCAACTCCGGCCGCAGGAGGAAATCGCAGCCACAGGTGCGATGTGTAATGCTCACCTTTCACAGACCTCTTAAACGTAGGAGTTTTTACGAAATGTATACTATAGCATCTCATTAGCTTGCTCAGAAATACCGCCTATGAAACGTGGAAAAGAGGACCCAATACGGACTGACGATACTGGAGACGCAGATTTTGCAGTCGGTCTGGAGAATGGATAGAACGGTCATCCTAGTGTGTATCCCTAGTTAGTAAAGCGGACAAAAAGGCAAAGCTGGAAATCAGTAAGTGATGCGAAGCTGCCCCAAGCGTCCATGGCAGAATGCTGTAAATAATTGTATACAGCTGTTTATTCTCTCAGTGAAATCGTGAGGAGCCCGCCAACATATGAGGCACAAGCTGGAACAGATACACATATATTGTGTATGCGTTTTTAATTTGATGTACTGATTTATATAGCGCCTGTAGCCTACGGGATAGGCTCCGGACCCCGAATACCCTGAATACGGAAATAAGGGATGGATGGATGTAGTGTCTCCCCTGGATGTCACGAAGTCTATGCATGGGTCGCGTATAGTTACTCGACAGCAGGGCTCCCAATTCCAGCGTGAATTTCAAGAAACATGTAAAGATGGTCTGGGTCGGACAGGATGTCAGAGGGTCCATGACCAGTGAGATCGCGCGTGCAACTACTCAACCCCTTTATCGATTTAATAACCATTTTACACTTTGAATCATTCCAGCCGCGTCAGAGGCCTACATTCAGTGCCGGTCAACCCTGGGGCGCCAACTTAGGGCGCCATCCCCAGGCCAAGCTTCACTCCTTGCCCGAAGAGCATGTAGAGCTTAGAGCGCCACCATAGGCCTCAGCCAACACTGCATATGTTGCCTGTGCTCCTACCACCAGCTAGCGCATCTGAAATTAACTATCGGTCTTGATGAGTATAGTTAATTGAAAGAATCAGGTGCGCTGGTGGCGGAGCAAAGCAAACGCACGGAATGGCCGAGGAAGAGGACTGAGTTCTTTCTCTAACCTCCCGATCCCCTTTGTAGGCTGATATTCGGAGCAGCTCAAGTCTTAACTAATTAGGCATCATTGCGATGTTAAATTTAATGCCTTGCAAGACACCAGCATTGCGAAATGTTACGTGAGAACATGTTACAAATTTTAATATCATTAAAGCCAATATATTATAAGCCTATATAACGTTTTTACATATCGATTATTAAAATGTTAAAACGATCATTTTAACATTTGTAAAACAAAGAGCTACGAAGGATTACATTTTGGTTATTTAACAAAAGATCGAACGTCAAAGATATTTAGAAACGTCTAATAATTGCGTCGTCGTTATAATTATTACGAGGTTATTAATTCGAGTCTACAGCCATTTCGTTTAACTTGATTTCAGTCATGCGATTCATTCGATCAACAACTCGATCAAGCTAATTAATGAAGACTGAAAAACAGAGAATGGGTATAGAGAAGGCATTCGTGGGTTGGAGGACTTCAAGGTGAGCTGGATGTTGTGGCGCCACTAAGGTCATGTACAAATTAGTTCCTATAATAGAAAGAAGAAAAACAGCCGACAAACCTCCACGTTAGAGAAGCTATATAAATGGACAAGACCAGGCACGCGCAGGAATGACGGCACAGACAGGAATATAATAAATGCATACATGTATAATGAAAAAATAGTTTGAATACGGCTAATGCTCATTAATATCACAAAACAGGATGTGGGTGGGATTCAGCTCTCTTCATGTACAGATTTGCAAAGATGCAAATAAAATCATTGACGACTAGTGCTGAAGTGCCTGTTACTGGAACACAAAATCATAATAAATTTTAAAATGAGGGGAAAAAAGTACAGAACTGGTAGTAACTTTATTCCTAGTCATTCGTATCCATGGCAAGCTGACACTGGGATTAATGCATGTGTAAATTAAAAATGTAGATGCCAGTAATAACAGAATGCAAAATGGTGTCAAACCTAAGAGGAGACGTCATGGGAGTGAGGAATTAGGGACACCCTCATACACTTTTAAGAGAGAAGAGCCAGTAATGTGTTTGGCATTAATGAATTATGCATTAAACTTTACTAGAGGGGCTGAGTGTGTGTGTGTGTGTGTGTGTGTGTGTGTGTGTGAGAGAGAGAGAGAGAGAGAATTGTCTAAAAGATGAGCCGCGGAAGACAGTGGGAGAAAATTATGAAGCCAAGTTTTCAGACGCAGATAAATAATGCAGTCTGCACCCAGGAAACAAGGGAATGGCCGTTTGATGCCAGATGGGCCGGCAAACTGAGTTCAACCTGGGTCCTGATGCAGGAAGAGGAGGGGCCAATGTAGCAGGAAGAGGAGGAGCAAGTGTGGGAGGAGCCAAGGTAGCAGGAAAAGGAGGGGCCAGTGCAGCAGGATCGCACATATACCAGTGCATGTACACACAGACGAATGTGCCTGAAATGCTTATTCAGAAACCGACGTGCATACTCCAGTACTGTGAGACACAAAAATACATAGAATCTCCCTCACACCGTGCTATGGATGGTGACTTCCAGTACAGCCTGGGAACTTCACTGGAAGTATTATAGTGTTCCATTTCAACTAGGAAGTAAGAATTTCCAAGTTTCTCATCAGAAATTTCAACTTTCTGACTCGAAAAGGTGGAGGAATCTATACATAACCACACCCTCAGAATTAAAGATGGCTGCGTCGTGCATCAGCAATAAATAACTGTTCATACTGCACTTCTGCCTTATTTGTGTCTCGTTACCAGTGATGGGCAAGTTACTCTGGGAAAGTAATCCGATTACTGATTACTAATTACCCAGTTCAAAAGTAATCTAATTACTGATTTATGATTACTTTATATAGTTACTTTTTGAGTTACTTTTTGTGACGGCCATGTATTTCCACAATACTTAAATCCACTTCATACCACCAGCAATTCAGTTCTTAAAGAAACAACAGGGGTCTAGTTAACACTTTATTGGCATCTTGAACAAGGCCAAAACAAGCAATCAACTTTCTAAGTTGAATATTTAATAAAAAATAAAATGCATCTTTGTTTTAAATCAAATAAATACAACTCTTTTGCACTGTTTTTGCAAAGTCACAATAAAAAGTCCTGAATTTCTTTCTTCCAGTTAGAATGTGTAAACAATGCAGTAGCATAGTAAATCATATTTTATAACAAAAAAAAATTCTTAAGGCAGCACTAGAAAGTTTTAGAGAGATTGTCAAGAATTTCCAACATAAACCTTCCAACACAACTAACATAACTTGTGCTTCGTAAAGTCTGAATGGCCTGAAAATATACATTTCAAAGAAATATTTAATATAATATTTAGCTGTATCTTTACTATTGCTAAAAATTACTGAATATAAATGTTTTTTATATATATATTTGGTCTACAAGTAATTAGATAATGCATGGGACAAACCTTTACAATGACATCTGGCAGGCCAGCTGTCATCCTGGAGAGTATCTTTAGTGCTTAGAGTGCATGAATTGAACCAGTGTATAGTAACCCCCATATAGCTTTTATTATGAGATGTCCAAAAGTCCGCAGTAGTTGACACAAAGTTTACCGCCTGCAGTACGGCCCTCACATTGGCCTCCATTGTAGCATATTCCTAAATCTAAATAAATCTAATTCCTTTCTATCTAAATAGTTAGAAAATGTTTTTCTCTGAGGCAGCCGTGCATTATTCCGTGTGCGTATTTTGACGATTAAACCGCGAAAAGACGGCGAGTCCACTGTGGATATGGGAAGCATTTCCTCGACTATGTAAGCAGCAACAAGTTTTTTCAAGTTTTCCCCACTCACCAGTTGACTTGAAAAGTCTAGTCTGAGCTGTTTAAGTTGCAGGAAAAGATGAATCCGAGTCTGTGTCGGGGACTGACCCCGCTTTCTCCACTAGCCTAACAGAACTGTGTTGTCCTTTGAGATGTTTAGATAGATTTGAAGTCGAACTCTTAGCGGTTGAAAATCTTTTGTCTCCCTCACATAAGACACACTGTACAACTATGTTTTTGCCCTTAGTTTCAACAAATTTAAAATAATGTTTGTATTTCCACGAGTAAAAAGCGCCCTTTTCTCCCTCCGGTGGTCTCTCCATGCTGCAGTGTTTGTGTGGCTGCGTCTCGGATTGATGACGTTACGTAGCGCCGCGCGCTGCTGCTTGATGATTTTTGCAACTGTATTTCATTATTTATTATTTTTGCATAAAACTGGCTAATCTGACGTCTTCAATGCAACACAATAGTAACGACGCGTTAGTCGGGTAGTAACTATAATCTGATTACTGCCTTCTAAAATGTAACGCCGTTAGATTACTCCGTTACTTAAAAAGTAATCTAATTACTCAATTTACTGTAACGCGTTACTGCCCATCACTGCTCGTTACACAAACGAATACTGTCCAGCCTCTATCTATGAACACGTTGTTGTGTATTTGCAAAATACCGCATAACGAGTTATCAACTGGTATTGCTTATGGCTAATCTGGGGTGCGTTTCCAAAAAAGCACAGTTGCTAAATACGCTAACTTGAGTGGTTGGAACTATGCAAGTACAACGCGGTGTTTCCCGAAACCATAGTTCAAACCATAGCGGTAACAATAGGGTGACCAGATAATCCATGTCAGGGAGGACACTCTGAGCCAGGAGAGGAATTGTAAATTACCATTTCA